ACATGATAAAAGACCATGTTACCCCTAGTAATGAACTAATAGAGACAAGGTGCGATGCGTGGCAGGGGCAACTGTTGGAAAAAGTCCCAAAAAGACTCCCTTGGGGTCTTCTTTCTTTAGTCCCAAATGCCCACTTTTAGTCCTTAAAAGTCCCTACTGGTTGGTTTAGATGGGACTAACACGGAGTTTTTTAGTCCCTACACCAAAGTGTCCCTGTAAACAAACACCCTATAATAATGCCACTGGAAAATTGATGCAATGCCACAGTTAAAAGCAAATTACATGTTTAATGAATTTTATTGTTAATATAATATCTATGTTAATATTAATCAATGGCACCATTTGAGAAATGCTACTGTCTTGCTTTCTTTCCCATTTAGATAAGGTAGATGCTTCTTTTTGTTGGCTTCTGTGTCATCCACCGTTATTGACCACTAATTGTTTCCTTTGCACCTCTGTGTAAACAGGGTTATCTACTTCACCTCGTTGCCATTGTGACCTTTTGTTGCACTACACAAAACACTTTTGTTTTAAGGGTGTGTTGTGTAGTTCAACCAAAATGTCACACCGACAATGTTGCTTGATTGCTTGATCTTAGTGGAACTTCACAAGAGGAGATCTTACTTCCTATCCGTTAAGGTCAATTTGGTTCAGATCTTCTTCTTGTGAGTTGTTTGAATTCCGCATCATGAGAGGTCAGTACTAGCCTTCTTTCACATGATTCTGCAGTGTGCTTTCATATGTTGTGCTACTTGTATGATAATGTTGCTTGATTTTAGTGAACTGCACAAATGGAGACAATACTTCCAATCTGTATGTGCACCGTAATATCCCATTGAGGTAAGGTAAAGATATTTCACAACTGCTGGCCTATATTTTTTCACTTTCATCAGAAAATTAAGTTTAGTACTATACTTGTGCTCCCTGACATGCCAAATCTTACATTGAAGACGAAGCTTGTCTGTTATTGAACCAAGTGATCGAGGAGTATATAGTAAGCATGGCCACCACCGTAGATAGCAATAGATGGTTCCGAAGAAGTGCTTCATATGTATGCTCTACACAATAAGCCTCCTGACAAAGGTTGGTACTCGCCCACTGATTTCATCCATATGATTGAGCTTTGTCATCTCTATTGGTGTTGTGCTACTGTTTAGATACTGTCATGAAAAGGTGGTATTGTCCTTGAGAAGTGATTCATCTTTGTTGTTTTAAATATTTCCTTTCCTTTTTTTCGAGCAAACAGGGATGCTAGCATTTAGTAGTCCTCTTGTCTTTGCACAACAGGATCATCTTCCTCTGAAGAAGAATATGGAGTACGTGAAGTGACTAGTTCCGATCATGCCAGGATGAAGAAGCCTTGTCTATCTTCTCATCAGAAGGAGCAGTTGAAGGATGGTTACATTACTCCCCACAAGACCAAACTAACTTTAGCTCAGAAGGACTGAAAAATCTCCATCTTTTTGCTGTGATGCGCGAGTACAATGTTGTTCTAGGATTCTTTCTGGTGAGTTCCATTTTTCTAAAAGTGTGCTCTACATGGACCATGTATGTGCCTGTTGAAACTGTCAATTCATAGTATAGTTTGCTTTATACTAATCACTTTTTTGTATTTGTGCAAACAGGGGTGCTCAACTTGATTTCAATGGGAACTACACAAAATGTTCATGAAAACATCGAATCATTCATTTCCACCACAAGAAAGGAGGTGCCGATAAGTTCAAGGCATTGCAACATATAAGGGCAAAATCATACAAGCTACGCGCGAATTTGGTTTATTTCGGTGGATCTGCACAAAAAGAACAGCTGGTTTATTTAGCACGAGGTGCCATGTCAATGTCCGAACTGATGGGAAACCCTGCCCATTCCACAATCGTTGGCATTTGATATTTTGGAATGGGACAACCTTGTCAAATTTTGCTCATTGATTTTAGCAAGACATGCGTTTGATATTTTCGAATGGGGCGCCCTTTACTGTCAGCAACGTCGATCAATTTTTTCTTTATTCTTTAGTTGTGAAGTAAATATTGCCTCTGACATGTGAGTCGCTGAGATGCATAATCATCGATTGTTTTGAATGTTCTCTATGAATTGCCAGGGCCGTGTGTTTGATTGCAATGTACAGAAACGCTAAAAAGCTGCTCAAACTCTTTGTACTCCTTCTGTTCCTTTTTACTTTGCACATTGTGAAAGTGCATACTTTTTTGTATAAGATTGGTCAAAGTAGAGATACTTTGAGTGCAGACAAAACTTGTATGCAGACTAGAAAGGACCAAAGGGAGTACATGTGAAACTGCTGCAAACGAGGTGATCACCCTGGGAATAATGCTAGTACGTATTGTTTTGCATTTTCATCCAATGCCAGTGATACAGGAATTCGAACTAATCGAAATAAATTCATTCATACACGGTCGGATTTCATAAAACCATGCCGGATTTCATTACATTTCGTACATTTTCAACTAAAAAGGGGTGCACTGGAGGTTTAATTAATTAACTGAAGCTACCCACCTGTGTCCCATTGGGCCGAACAGAAGCTTTAGTGACTTAACTGCAGGTGCAGTTGCGTAACTGACATGTGGCCTATTGGGCCCACGTGTTAGTCAGCCAACTGCACCAGCAGTTAAGTAGAAGTAGCGTTCTTCTCCAGCGCAGCTCTCTGACTCCACATAGCCGCCAAGAAGCTAACCGGCTGTCAATGGTCAACCCGCCTAGCTTTGCTTCAACCGAAGGGTAGCAGCGGTGGCCTTACTTGGACTCGAGCGGCGGCGACCTACCGTGTTCTACTCTTCCTCGTTTTCTGTGTGGCGGGGCCTCGTTGGCAGCGGGGCGGGGCCTCGGCTGATCCGGCGATGTCCTCTGCCTCGTTGTTGGCGAGGCGGGGCCTCGGTGGAGCCGGCGGTGTCCTCTGCCTCGTTGTTGGTGGGGCGGGGCCTCGGCGGAGCCGACGGTGTCCTCTGCCTCATTGTTGGCACCGCGGGGCCTCAGCGGAGCAGGGCCTCATCGACGCCAGTGGAGCGGGGACTTGTCGGAGCCGGCATTGTCCTCTGCCTCGTCCTCGGTCTCGCCAAACATCGCCTCGCCCGCTTCATCACCCTCTTTGCTAGCCTCCTTGTAGGCGGCCACAGCCTCTGCCACCTGCATGCAGTACCGCCAGCGCTCGAGGCGGCCCTTGTGGGCGGAGCGGTATGAGTCGAGCAGCGCCTCCTGCTCCGCCCGCTCTGCGGCAATCTGCTCCTCCTCCTGCAGGTGCTCCTCGAGGAGATGGTGGTTGTAGGCGGCGTCGGCCTGCGCCTCCTGGAACTACTCCTCATGCATCTGCCTCACCCTGTCCATATATTGCGCACGGGCCTCGCCGATGGTCAGGGTGCAATTCACCGGCGAGGATGGAGCGGAGGAGGGGGTTGGCGTCGGATCGTCGACTACCATGTTCTCCATTGGGACGTCGTCATCCTCCGGCTGCTTGCCGGCCAGCCGGTCGGCAGCAATGGCTACCATCTCCTTGTGGTCTGTCGTCCACCTGCCCCGAAGAGTACTGGAGCGCGAGGAAGCCATGGTGGGCAGTAGTGGTGTGTACAGGAGAAAGGGAACGGATGCGGATGACTGCGGCTATGGCCGGCGCAACAGTTTATATAGCAATGGTGGGCGGGCGGAGGGACGGACGTGTGGCGCCGGAGTAGCCACCTCGGCAACCGCGTATCATTAATGTGGGCAGCAGATGGTCGAATGGACGGCACTTGTATCATTTGAAGGTGGAGCAATCGCCTGCACCGGGAAGCGAGGAGGGCGGCGCTGACTTTTTTGGGCAGAAAGCGCGCGCGGGCGAGGAGATGACTTTACTTGGAGAGGATGACAATGGGGACCCACCAGGTCCATAGCCTCACGTACGCAAGTGCCTCCTTATATATATATATATATATATATATATATATATATATAGGGTGGGTCTATTCTAAGAACACCCTTAAGACCTTATTCTAATAACACATAAAGCTTATCCTGATAACACCCTACTCAGCAGCCACCCGACCCAAACGACACAAACAGAAAAAAAAGAAAAACAACGCCCCCTACGCCCACCACTCGACCACCTCTCTGTCTCTCTTCCTCCACCACCGACGCCTCCCCCAATTCCCCACCACCAACCACCTTCCTCTCCTCCCCTGGCGCCGCCCCCTCCAGCCTCATCCCTTAGCGCCGCCACCCTCCAGCCTCATCCCCTGGCGCCGCCCCCCTCCAGCCTTATTCCCCTG